CTTGCCACCGTCACCTCTGGCTTGCTCATTAGGGATAAATTCACATATTTACAATATATTTTTTGTGAATCCATTTATTTCTGTAAAGCTGCTTTGTGACAATGTCCATTGTTAAAAGCGCTATACAAATAAAATTGAATTGAATTGAATTAATGCTATAGCTATCCGTGTGCATCTGAAGATGGATAGGTCACCAGACTGCACTGTCAACCTTGAGAGTGAGCACCCTTGGCCCTACCTCCAATATGCCGGAGTAAGCAAATACTCATATAAAATGTGGCATCTCCTTTTCCTCCATCGGATTTGAAAAGCGTGTTGGGGTTAACCTGTTTTCTTTGCTAATGCCAGGTTAGACTAACATCAATTCCAGCAGCTAACATAATAGGCTAGGGTTAGGGAAATTGGATGTATATGTTTATGGAACTCAAAAGCAAAATCTGCACCTCAATCTTGCACCTGCACCTTATTTGTATTTTTGTTTTTTGCACCTCAACCTTGCACCTGCACCTTATTTGTATTTTTGTTTTTTTTTTTGTTATTGTTATTGTTACTTGTTATTTGTTATTGTTATTGTACTGCTGTAGACTGCCTAAGCCTCACAAACAGCATTTCAATGTACATTGTCACTGACACTTGTATATATGACAAATAAACTTGAAACTTGTACTTGCAACTTGACCTATGCATAGAGCCATCTGCAATGCTTTAGAAACAGTCACACCCTGTGGATACGTAGAGAATTGCAGATAAATGTGCAAATCACTGCTCTCACATGTTACACTTCACATCAAATTATTCAGCTCCATGATAACTGCATCTAGGCTACTCGGACAGGAGAAGTATTAAAGCAAAAAAGCATTATGAATTTATTTATTTATTTGTGTACACTGGTTAAGTAGTCTGTGCACTGATATGTATTGCCCCAATTAACTATTTGCAGTCTACAGTTTGTTTAATCCCCTCTCTGAACAAAATAGTAAATTGTTAGGTTGTTGTTCTTTCGGCTGCTCCCTTTAGGGGTCGCCACAGCGTATCACTTCTCATTGTCCGCATATTGATAAGTCCATTCATGAAATTTCCTCACTACTAAATATTCCATAGTCAACTGTTAGTGGTATTATAACAAAGTGGAAACAATTGGGAACAACAGCAACTCAGCCACGAAGTGGTAGGCCATGTAAAATCACAGAGCGGGGTCAGCGCATGCTGAGGCACACAGTGCGCAGAAGTCACCAACTTTCCGCAGAGTCAATAGCTACAGACCTCCAAACTTCGTGTGGCCTTCAGATTAGCTCAAGAACAGTGCGTAGAGAGCTTCATAGAATGGGTTTCCATGGCTGAGAGGCTGCATCCAAGCCTTACATCACCAAGTGCAATGCAAAGCGTCGGATGCAGTGGTGTAAAGCACGCCGCCACTGGACTCTAGAGCAGTGGAGACGTGTTCTCTGGAGTGACGAATCATGCTTCTCTGTCTGGCAATCCGATGGACGAGTCTGGGTTTGGTGGTTGCCAGGAGAACAGTACTTGCCTGACTGCATTGTGCCAAGTGTAAAGTTTGGTGGAGGGGGGATTATGGTGTGGGGTTGTTTTTCAGGGGTTGGGCTTGGCCTCTTAGTTCCAGTGAAAGGAACTCTTAATGCTTCAGCATACCAAGACATTTTGGACAATTTCATGCTCCCAACTTTGTGGGAACAGTTTGGGGATGGCCCCTTCCTGTTCCAACATGACTGCGCACTAGTGCACAAAGCAAGGTCCATAAAGACATGGATGAGTGAGTTTGGTGTGGAGGAACTTGACTGGCCTGCACAGAGTCCTGACCTCAACCCGATAGAACACCTTTAGGATGAATTAGAGCGGAGACTGCGAGCCAGGCCTTCTCGACCAACATCAGTGCCTGACCTCACAAATGCGCTTCTAGAAGAATGGTCAAAAATTCCCATAAACACACTCCTAAACCTTGTGGAAAGTCTTCCCAGAAGAGTTGAAGCTGTTATAGCTGCAAAGGGTGGGCCAACTCCGTATTAAACCCTATGGATTAAGAATGGGATGTCATTAAAGTTCATGTGCATGTAAAGGCAGACGTCCCAAAACTTTTGGCAATATAGTGTATGTGCTGAGTTGGTCCCAGGTTTAGAGAGACCGACATGAACAATCCTTCTCATCCTGTCTATGCTAAGCTGAGGAGGCTCAGGGGCATGTTCAGCCACAGATTCATCCAGCCACGTGCCTCAAGACATCTGGGGGGTTCTTTCATGCCGTCAGCCGTGAGACTCCACAATGCAACAGTACCCAATACCTCCTACTCCACTGACTGAGTCTAACAAACACACACACTCAACAGTTAACTGTCATTCCACAGCTATTGGACATGTATGTATACAAAGAGAACTCTAGAATATGTACATACACACTGATCTATTTTATTGTTTCTGTTATTTCTATTTATCTTATTTTTATTGTATACTACTTCTGATGTATAGGTATTTACAGAAATTATTTTCTTTTCTTTGATATTCTCCTACTTGTGCTGCTGTGTCGGGAGTCAATAAAGATCTTATCTTACTACCTGTACACTTACAAATCTAAACAACCCTTGGATGGATCGGGCATATCCCAGCCATACTTAAGCTCCATCGTGTCAGCCATATCGGTTGGCATAATTGAACTGACAAATCGGTACTCCAGAGTTCCTTATATGGTGAGTGAAGAGGCAAAAATCAAAGCGCAATTTGCAGTAATGACAGGTTTCCCAAATTTCCCAGGTGAGAGACTGCTATACAAACCAGAAAGATTAAGTAAGTTTTATTTCTAAAGCACATTTAAAACAACAATAATTGCCCAAGGTACTGTACATAATAAATGACAGAAAAAAAGTCTGGTGGTGAATCGGTGTTTTTGAACGAATCTTTTAAGTAAACGAATTGTTCTCGTTCACTGCCATGTACTGACTGATTTTTCGCTCACTGATTTATCCCGCCCGTGTAAAACACATGACTGTTTTGGCAGCTTTTTCCTGCTTTTCAAAGACTGCATTAAAGTGCATACTGTGAAGGAGCATGTCATTGGCTGGACCTATTGCACGAATATGCCCTTTACTTTGAGTCTGAACGAGTACGAAATCGGTACCACTCTCATTCAGACTCAACACCAAGTCTCCTTCAGTAAAAGGTGTATTCTTTCCATAGGTCCAACCAATGATATGCTCCTTCACAGCCCGCACTCTAATGCACTCTTTAAAAAGCAGGAAAAAGCTGCCAAAGCAGTCACGTGTTTTACACGGGCGAGACGAACGAAGAATATCAGTACATGGAAGTGAACGACTATGATTCGTACACTTAAAAGATTGGTCCAAAAACACTGAGTCGTTCACGAAGGAAACAGCAGTAGAGTGAAGGAAACAATGACTTATTCATAATATCTAAAAAGACACTCACTGGCGCCACCTACTGCTGTAATGATGTAACTTACGGAAAGAGTCACTGAACCAATCAGTGAAAGAATCTTTTCGGTGACCGGAATCAAAAGATTCGAGTTACTGGGATAAATCGAAATTACCACCGCTACTCTTTTTTTGCTTGTCTCTCGAATGAATGGGACACCCAATATTTAAATATGTATGAGGTGATTTGCACTGACTATTTACGGATATTTGTGGGCGGTAACTGGGTGGGAGAAGAGGCTTTTTCACCTGCGCATATGTTCAAGAAGACCGTGGTTTATAAAGCGTACGCAAGAATTCATAAATCAGATATTTTTGTGTGCACGCACACTTTCACTCCGCAAAGTTTTATAAAAGGCCACTGGACAATTTTAACAAAAGTACAGAAAGAGGAAGTGGCTATTTGTCCCCCGGCCCAGCAGGCGGCGCTCATCACTCTTCACTGTAGTACGCATGCAGTCGCGCGTGACGTCACTTTGGCGCCGAATTGTTCGCCTTTGAGCGCGCATATTCCGCTATTTCCGCGAATGACGACATTCTACAGTGAAAAATTACTGAAAGTTTAATATTCTGAAGGGATTTTTACTTTGTATTAAACATGCAGCGAAGTATATCGTAAGTGTTTTACATATTTCTTTTTTTCTTAATTGTAAACATGTATTTTCGTTTGAACGCTCGATATAACGTCGCGAGTAGCAGTAAGCTTTGAGCCATTGTCAACAGCTACGTTTCTTTTATAGCCGCTACGCAACTTTAATCATTTAATTACTCATATAGTGTATGTTTGCTTCACAAATCATGAACATTAAAGACCTCACCATCTAGCTAGCTACTTAGAAAGCTAGTAATTCGGGTAAACAAGTCAGTTAATGTACGTTATCCCTGTTAAGTAATCAAAGCAAACCAAAGCGTTCACTTGAATAGGTTTGTTCAAAATGTTAGAGCATTTGCACAAATGTATTTTACCTGTTTTTGTATTGGTTGTAAGTACAGACTGGGTCACCAAAAACCCACAACACTCTGAAAGAAAGAGACTACCTAAAATAGTAGAATGTGTCTCCAACATGGCACAAAAATATTCTTCAATCTTTAAAGTATCCTCGTATATTGCATGAAATGTTAAATTTTCCTATATGAACTACCGTTCACATCACTGTTTGAGTCGGCTTTAATCATTTAGCCAAATGAAAAGGCATCTGCTATTAAAAGATTCCTTTTGTATTTTGTTTGATTTTTTTTCTTATCTAAATTAATCCATTATAGTGCAGTACGTTCAGGCTTGTTTGTGCTTGAATGTATTGAATTTATATTGAATAGTTCAAGATTCATGAATAACAAATACACTTAATTCAAAAGGAAAAATAAATAGCCTGTATAAAGTAAGGAGAATTAAATAATCAGATTAAAAGAATGAGATTAAATCAAATACATAAAATATGCTATTTGTTAAGAAAACCTTGCCCTGCATAAATTGAGCAGATTTAGGATATACTTGAGGGTCCCAGATTACCAGATTAGTTGAGGGTTAAGGGCCTTGCTCAATGGCCCAGCAATGGCAGCTTGGCAGTGCTGAGATTTGAATTCATGACCTTCCAATCAGTAGTCCAACACCTTAACCACTTAGCTGCCACTGCCCCTAATTATATGCCACGTTGACCTTCAGGTTGTTAAAATGTTATGCCGATTCCTAATAGATATGAGTTTGTACAAATACGACAAAGATGAAATTGTCAGTGGTGTTTGGGTGTGCTCATCTGATGACAAGATTTGATTGTAACCAGCTTTAATGAATAAGGGGCATTGAGTGACAAATGTTTGAATATATGGAGTGAAAACATGAGGATATTTAATGATTTATATAGTAAAATTAGGCATTTTTAAAGTGTTAGGATACTTTTGAGGATGTAGAAGACTTAATCCTCAGAAATATTCTCAAGGCCAGGCTGGAGACACACAAGGTTTGTGTATGTATGGATTTATTTATTTTTAAAATTTAATTTCATTTCCACCATTTGGTCACTTGTCATTTTCCACCCATCACTCAGCTCTCCCCATCATACAACACCTATCAACCAGGGAGGGTGAAGGCTAACACATGCTTTTTCTAAGGCTCGTGAAGCCAGCCAACTGCATCTTGTCGAACTGCTGCTCATGCTGTGTCACCGGGCAGCATGACACACTCAGAGGAAAGTGCTATCTATCCTCTTCTGTATACATGAGCTCACAGCCACTCACAGCTGGGCAGTGTTGCCTCTGAATAGCCAAGTTTCCATCCACTTTTGTGCTGTTCTGTTATCGACAAAGTGAAATTGCATTAAAAAAAAGTTTGCGAAATTTGCTGTCTCCCACCTGTTTCCATTCAGTTGGCCTTTTACCAATAAAATGATGTGTGTGATGACATCATCCTTAATAAACAAAACTAAACAAATTGTCACATAAGTTTTGGTGTATCACACAAGAAATCTGTCCTTGCGCCCTTTCCACACATAATATTGTGTATATATGCAAATTGTGTACCTTTTGCATCCCACATGTCTTCAGATCTTTGTAAAATGGAGAGAGTATTGAATTAATTGAAATTGGCCAGCTTACTTTTAATTTCACAAATAATTTCAGTCGTATGAAATATCAGAAGACGATGTCAGAATGGAGCTGTTGCTCATCTGATAGGGCTCCAAGTTATGAAGTGACTCCAAGTGTCTTCCTTATGTGATGAAGCCCATGGGTCTGGGAGGTAGTGGTGGAGAGACACTTCACAGAAAGTCTCTGGCTGCAACATTATAGAATGTTACGACCCACGTTTGAGATGCTGCGCCAATTAATTGGTCCTAATGTTGCGCCCATTGCAACATGTTGCAAGGACACATGAAGTAAATTCTGTCATGTGACACTTTTTTTTTTTTTTTTTTTGCGTGAATGCCATTTTTCTCGACAAAAATTGTTTCCAGACTATTTTTTCGCAACATTTGAAGTACTGACATGTAATGTTAAGCGAAAAAAGATTATGTCGACACGATTGTGTGGAAATTTTATCGATAATTTGTGTTTCCATCAGCTATATCAATAAACATTTCAATGTGCTAAACCTTTTTTTTGCAAACAAATTCTTGGATGGAAATGTAGCTATCGACGGGGGGAAGAGAGTAGGTCATCCCTCCCACCAAGAGAGCACAACCAGTAGAAAAATTTGGCATTTTATTCAACATAATATGATCATAATATGATCATTGGGGAAGTTAAAATTCCCCATTTGTCCTAACAACAAAAATGAAAGCAGGTAAAATACATTTGTGCAATCGCTAGAATTAGCCAAAGCACTGCAGTTTAATACTGCACGTGGGTTAAAAAAGACTGAGTGGCCTGTACAGGCACAGCATCTTACCTACAGTGATTTATGTTGGAACAGCGAAATTGAATAAGAAGGTCCCAATTAGAAACCAACTTCAGCCTTGTGCGTGGATTGACATGCAACTTCTGACTTTCTTCATTGCGTAACCAGTAACATATATGGTTGGCTGGTCAGCTAACTGACTTACAGAGTGATTACACACTTTAATAATGCTCTCTGCATTTTAACCCAAATTTTTTCACAGGTCCTTCTTTCAGCCAATGAAGTGTAAGGAGAAGGATGGCATGCCCAAAGGGAAATCTGAGTGAGTGAAAGCCATTTCATATATTTAAGGCTAACGATAAGAACATGGACTATAATGTCAAATAACCCTATGGAAACCTGACAACGAGGTTGGGTGATATGTTTTTTTGTTTTTTTTTTTATTTTAAGCTTATATGTAACATGCTGGTGGGCAGTCCTGCATTTGCTACTGTCCACACTTAACTGTTGTAATTGAATAGGCATGTAATTGAATGGGGTTTTATCATTCATTAGCACTCCTTACTGTGTCTTCTTCACTCCAGGTCAGTTAAAAGCCCCCTCAAACCTCAGAATATTGATCAGGAATGTGATTCACCAGTGAAGACAAGTAAGCGGAACCGAGCAATCATAGACAGTGATGACGAAGAGCAGCAGATGGTAAAAGAAGAGGCTTTCCAACAAAATGGAAAACAAACAGCCACACCAGGCAGTGAGAAGGTACAGAATGTCTTGTATGCACATTTCACACAGTGTGATACACAGTAGCAAAATACAATGTTTAATTTTAAAGATGATGTAATTATAGTGCTCTCTCTTAGGTTGGCCTTGTTAAGGATACGGCCAGTCCACTCTCACCAAAGCCCCTTGTTACCCCGACAAGTCCTACTGTTTCGGTAGCTTCTGGCACTCCTGAAACGCCTGTTACCCCGAATTCCACTTCACCCTCCTGCATTCCAAAACGCAAGACTGGTTAGTATTTGTCCACCCTGTAACTAGTCAGATGTCTGTGTAGTGCATCAGTCCTTTTGTTTATTCATAAATTTTCAGTCGTCTGCACATTTATCCTTCAACTGCACATTGTACCTACCAACAGTTTATATATTTGGTCTTTTCACTTTGTGATTTTTTTTTTTCTTCTCTCTCTTTATTTCTAGCCCGTAAACAGTTTCCCAAGAGGAAATTGGACGGCAGGAGTGATGAAGAGCGAGAAAAAGAGGAGGAAGGAAAAGAGACAGAGGGAGGACAGGAGAGTAAACGAGCAAGAATAGAAGGATCTCCTGAAAAGATGGGTGAGACTGGTCAAAGCCGTTCTTTGTGGCTTTTTATGTGTCAAACTCCAAAAAGCAAGTGTTTACAGACATAGATTTTGCAATTGTGGAAGAATGTGAGAGAGTGAGAGTTGGCATATACTTGTGCAAATATGCATGTAAACAAAACTGTGTCGAGAAGTGGTTTCTGACTAAGCATAGCTGATTGAGAAGCATATATGGCATGTCCAGTAGTGTTTAAGGTTGGGACAAGACCCTAACAACACACAACCCAAATAGAGCAGTGAATGCAGTTAATGAACAGGCTGCAGAGGGGATGAATTTAAGGATGTACACTCCCATTTAGGATTATTCTGCACATGTCTTTATAATTGAGGCCCCTACTCTTTATCTTTAGCTTCCCTCCTTTGTTTTCTTGAAAACAGGGATTGATGAAGAGGCTATGGAGGTGGAGCAAAATAACAGAAATACAGTGGAGAAGGAACTACTGAAAGCAAAGGATGAGGGAAACATGAATGTGACTAATGCTGAAAAAGAGAATAAAAAACAAAGTGATGAAAAGGAAACTGAACAGGAAGGAGAGAAGTATGAAGTGAATGGGAACAAAAAAGGAATGAAAAAGGTAACAAAGGAGGAAAAATGCAGTCCTGAAAGAGTGATGAAGAAAGAGAAGGATGTAGAAGAGGAGAAGAGAGAGGGATCTGCTAAGAAAAAAGCCATCAACAGTTTTTTTGGTGAGCTCTTTTTAAGATCTTCTCTTATAATCTGTTTATTTGCAGCATTTATGTCTTCATGATATAAATCAATTCCTTTATCATCTGAAGCACCCAGAAAAGCTGCAATGAAGCTGGAAAAATCAGAAGAGAAAAGTAATTTAGAGAAGAAGGATGGCGAGAAGCCTGCGGCTGCTACTACTTCTGAGGAGAAAGAAAAGAAGGGGTACGAGTACAGGAAGAATACAGAGCCAAAATTTAAAAATCACAATAACCTGTAGTATGTAGAGCTGAGCAAGAAAAATAACAATAATGCAAATGCTGTGTGGTAAGGGCACTCAAAGGATCCTCCCCCCAATTATATATTAACAGTAAATTTCTAGATACAAAATAACATTAATTATGAATGTATTTCTATATTTGATAAATAGTGTGCAGTGCCAAGATGTTGAATTGAATTCTTGTTTGTCATGATATTGAAATTTTTTCTTATGGTGAAGTCTTATTCTGTGTGTTATGAGATTACAAACTTTATATTTCCTATGTGACAGTGAGAAGGATGTAGAACCTGCAAACCAGAGCCAATATGATCCTTCTAAAGCTCACTACCATCCCATTGATGATGCTTGCTGGAGGAAGAGGCAGAGGTGAAGCACATCCACTATTTAAAGTATAGTATTTTAGATTTGCATCTGTTGCTCTTTATCTATTGTGGTCTTTCTTTCTTTCTTTCTTTCTTTCCCTCTCCATCTCTCTGCAGAGTTCCATATCTGGCTGTTGCTCGGACCTTTGAGAAGATTGAGGAAGATTCGGGCAGGTGTGATTTTCATTTACAGTTTGGCAGATGCTTTTACCTGAAGTGGCTTAGAAGTGAGGCAGAATGTCAGAAATATAACCCAATATAATAATATAACCCAACCCAGAATATAACCCAATTACTGCATAACAGCTTTAAATTAAGCTGTAGGTTAAGGGGTTTTCTCAAGGGGGATTTGCACTCAGTCCAGTCACTGGCCTAGGCCCTTAACTGCTGAGCTATTCAGTATTATGAACCGTTTTTTGTATTTTTTGTATATTAGAGAGAAATAGAAAAATGATGAGAATGTAGGTATAAGGAGTTGTATGAGGGTGTGGGTGTGTGTTTGGGGCCTGGACAGTGGGTGTGAATGAGTTTGTGTGTTTCAGGCAGATAGTGATATATTCTTGTTAAAAATTTTGTTTGTGTCTTGTCATCAGGTTGAGAAACATTGAGACTCTGTCCAACTTTCTGCGATCTGTTAT